AAGAGGGATTTTATAGTACTGTACACAGGACAGCTGTTACACCCTTCCCTTTATAGTTATGACAGAATGGAACATCTGTATTTTTTGAGAGAGACCTGAATTGAAGCCTATGCCCCACACCATGTCTCTGAGTAACTGTTACCTTAGCTGATGTTTTGGCTAAAATGTCCTGTAGCTCCATGATTTTCTGTACAAGTCCATGGAAGTCATTACAAGTTGGGCAGGCTGGAATTACAAACACTACATTTGTTACATTTGTCAAATTGTATATACAATAGGTTCAATCTATACAAGTTACAGCTGAGAACCAATATATTGGAGCTCAAGGTTTTAAAAGAGCTTGCAGGACAAAAATGAAGCAAGAAGCACACCTTTGATTCTATGGTGTAAGAACTAATAGACTTACTGCGATTAAGATCTGGGCACTGAGAAATAAATCCTTGAGGCATGACAAGTAGTTGCACATCTTGCATTATGCCCTGTGTGCAAGTGGGGATAGAAAAGAAAGAAGAGTGGGCATTATTTTTATCTGTCAAAATAATATTCCACAGCAATGTTCACCACATAAAACATTAGAGCTCACAAAGAAAAACTGCATGAAAAAAACACTGTTTATGAATACAATACTTCTTAGTTGCACCCACTGTGGTGATGGGAGAGCAAAGATTAAGTAAAATAGATAACTGTACATGTACACACATAGTGAACCATTTTTAAAGGCATACGATTAAATGTCAAGATGTAATTAAATGACAAGAGTCTGGTTGTTTTGAATTCATTGTTATTTTTAGTTACCCATTGAAGAAAAGCTTGAAAATGACCTTTAAAGCAACTTAAAAAATTATTTCCAGTTTCAGGGTCTTTGAAACACTGTTTTAAATAAAATGCAAATATTCACTGAACTACTGTTGTCAAACAGAAGTGAAGATTAAAGAAACTTGAGTCATGAAAAACAGATTCAGACAGGCATTTCATGATTTTGATATGGATCTTTTCATATAGCATACCTAATTCAGAGAAGCAACATATCTATTACACAGCTACAGAGGAGCATCTTGACAATTTAGGGGAATAGGACGTTTAGCATGAAATTCAAATATACCAGCTGGAAATGACCTGTTTCACCCAGAAGGACAGATCACATGTTTACAGGCAGAATTCACACACATCCTTAGTCATTAAGATATAATTAGCAGCCACTTTGCTGCTCTCCTAAAGCAAAGGCCAAACGCAATTTAGAAATGAACCATCCTATCACACACATTGCAGATATCCCTTTCATCTATCCTTCCTTCCATGCCTTACACTGATCTTCAAAACTCATTCTTAAAAGAAATGCAATGAATTGGCAATGAATTACAACAGGATTTATAGCGCTATGAAGAAAAGGTATCAAAACACTGTGGACTCAATCCTAATTAAAGGCCAAATCCCACACTGATTCAGCGGGAACAAGTTTAGGTTCAAAACCAAATAAAACCCTAGACCAGGATCTTCACAAGTGATCCATGATTTTGGGGGCCTCATTTTTCGGCTATCCAATGTGAGACTGATTTTCAGAAAGTGCTCGGCATCCACCTTCAGAAAACCAAGCCCCTAGGCACCCAAACCCACTAGTCATTTATTAAAATCTTGGGCTACAAGTCTGAAGAGATTTACAGTCCACAATGCTATGTTCAATATTTTTGTTTTCAGTTTAACCATTTGTATATCATATATTGAACAATCAATAAAATCAACGTATTTTGGATGGATTGGTGCTATTATTCCTTGCTGAATTTCATTTAATTTGGCTTTTCTCAGTAAGGAAAAAATCTCATGGTATTTTGACTCATCTAGACTTCCTTGACAAACAACTAAAATAAACCAAAAGGCAACTACAGATGGTGTCTTTCATTTTACACCTTGATGTGTGTGCATGTTCCATCACAGTCCGAGACATTTCAGAAAATGGATGAGTAGCATGTAAAGGCTTGAAAAGAAATAAATACATGATAATCTAAAAACTGTATTAGTCATAAGCAGAAAATACAGAACATTAAGTGAGTTTTGGAGCAGTATAAGCAATTTTGGAAGGGCTCACTCACCCTTGGAGCAACCCCTTGAGTCAGTGCGAGCTGTTGCCACTATCTTTGGCTCCAGCACCTCCTGCTGGCCAGCTGCCTCTGGCCCCAGGTCTTGTGGCTCAGCCCTCTGGCCAAGACAGCTAAATTCAGACCCCTTCTGGGTATCATAAACAAGCTCTCACAAAATCCAAAGAAAACTGAATAGTTCTCCTACCCTCTTTGGCTATTGTGGTCTTTTCTTCTCTACTTACAAATCCTATCTCAAGGCTTCCCTCGCAGAAGCCTACATTGCCCCATCATGTGCTGTCTCCAATCTCTCTGTCTATGTAACCTAACCCTGGGCTTCGCTCAGTCAGAGAGACCGGTCTTCTCTGCTGTCTCTCCCCGCAAGTACCTCTTTCAGTCTACTTATTACGACTTAGCTCCATCCCCCCTCAGGTTGGGAGCCAATTAGCTCCTCTCCTCCCCAAGTACAAACCCTGACTAATTGGGCACTTTTGCCAGCCTTGCAAGTGATGGGATTAAGCCCCATTACACACATCTCTCAAGGTAGTGCCCATCAGGACTCTCTCTCCCCATCACTGTATGGGGCCCAGGGGCGGCGCTATGTTTTTTGAGCCCCAAGCACGGCAGTCAGGCAGCCTTCGGCGGCATGCCTGTGGGCGGTCCATGGTCACGCGGGTTCGGCGATTTTTCTGCAGGTGATCTGCCGGTCCCATGGCTTCGGCGTACCCGCCGCCGAATTGCTGCCGAAACCGCAGGACCGGTGGACCTCCGGCAGGCACGCCGCCGAAGGCCGCCTGACTGCCACCCTCACAACAACTGGCAGGCCGCCCCCCGCATCTTGCCGCCCCAGGCACGCGCTTGCTGCGCTGGTGCCTGGAGCCGCCCCTGACGGGGCCCTGCAGTTGCTTCCTCTAAGTAGTACTCAGATAAACAAACAATTTTTATAATCTAGCATGTCTTCAGAATGTCCTTTCCAGTATTCTCTATCTTGGAGTGTAACTGCAGAGCCTCTTTTGCAGCAGTTAATCTCTCTTGAAGTTCCCAGATCTGTTTACTCTCCATGGACAGTCCGGCCTCTTGTGATTGCCCTTTGGGTGCCGGGTCAGGGTCCACAATTGAGGCAGCTTCTCCTGTCTCCTCATTCAGAGCATCCATTCCCCATGAACCCACCCAATCCAATTTCTTTTCTGCAGGGGCCTGTTCTTGGCTTTTAGAGGTTGCGGCACCCTTTCCACATATTTCCATGGTTCTCAGTGCAGCCAGCTCCCAATTGTGTTGCTGCCAACAATTCTTTTCATATGCCAGTTCTAGTCTTGTCCAAATCTGTTCTTGCTCTTGTTATGTGGCCTTCTCTATTATTTTCTGTCATTAGGGTTGCCAATTTTGTTTAGATGTATTCCTGGAGGTTTCAATCACATGACAAGCTTGAATTAAAGATAAATCTTTAATTCCTGGAGACTCCAGGACAATCCTGGAGCATTGGAAACCCTATCTGTCATGAGGTTTTCACCTCCTCCAGCTCTTGGTTTGCCTTGTGCAATTGTGTTTCTAAGGCCTCTAGCTGGCTTGGCGTCTCTTGTTCAAATCTCTCAACTACATTTCCCCAGTCCTTTTAGTACTCGGCCCTGTCTCTAGGCCACCCGGCACAACAGCCTGTGTCCAGATGAGAGTTGCCTTATGGTTAATTTGTTCATGTGATATCCTTTGTTAGAGATAGGGATAGGGCTGGGAAATTAGGCCAGTGTCTCCCTACAATTATGGGCAAGGAGAGGTTTCTTAATATACCAACTCTCAGCTTGTACCTCTGTTTTTGCAGTTGGGAGTCTACTCCCTCAAACCAGTGTCCAACCGCACCTGGAGTCAATCAGTCCTCTCGTTTCACATCTAGACACATTAGCAGTTCTGGTAAGCTGGAGCATGCCCCCTACTGAGGGAACATGCCAAATTGTAGACTTTCCTGTAGTAACAATCCAAATAGCCACACTCCATGAAAGGGTAGTCCTTTCTTTTGTGACCTGGTTGACCACACCCGAAACACACCACCATATTCTTCTGACAGATTCCTGGGTGCTTGGTGATGACTGAGGTCCCACTCCCTCTTCTGGTTTCTTAGGTACCAGATTACCTAAGAACTTCTCTCCACATATGTCTCCCTTGCCATCTCAAAATCAGGGTTCTCTGTTGCCCTGCTTTCCTTGGAATAGTCCCCTTGAACTAACCCCTTGTTTGGGTGGTTCAGTATTATCTGCTTCCATATAGGCCTCTGCTCTCTCAATGGCCTCATCAGTAGAAGTCAAAATCTCCAGACCCAACTTTGGGCTCTGGCAGACAAGATCCTTAGACATTGTTCTAATGTTACACCACCTTGTCTAAAGAGAGCATGTCAGGGTGTAACCATCATGTGGCCAGGCCCCGTAAACGCTGTGCTGCCACTCTAGGGCATATCCCCTGGGGAAAGGCTCTATCCTAAACCAATGTTGGTATGTTTCCAGGGTCAGTCCCAGCCAAAATGGTTTCTTTCACAATTCTGTCGGACCTACTCATCAGACAAAGCTCGGTAGGTCACTTGAGCTTCTCCCGAAAGGAATGAGGACAATCAAGCTGCCCAAAAGGATTTGGCCCACCCTGCTGCAGTTGCTACCCTCTCAAAAGTGCTCAAGAAGGCCTCTGGGTTGTTACCTGGGCCCAATTTTGCAAGGCCGGGAACCGGTCTGGCAGAACTTTCTTCTCCTGAAACTACCCAGGGCCCTGGGATCCACTTCTCTAGGCACTGCAGGAAACGTTCTTGCTGAGCCTGTTGAGCCTCTTGCTATTGTTGTTTCCCTTATAATAGACACAACAAGAGAGCATGTGTCTGCTCCTGTTGCACTGCCAGCATGCGGAAAAACTCCTCCACATTCCCCAACTGGAGGAAAAAAGGCCTTCGTCTGTCCATCTGCTCCCCACTTTTAAGGTAGTTGGTATCTCCCTCCTTTCTCATAAGGTGGGTGTCTCCACAACCCCAGGTCTGGTACCAATATGTGGCAGGGCTCACTCACCCTCAGCACACACCCTTGAATCAGTGCAGGGTGTTGCCACTCTCTTCGGCTCCAGAGCCTCCTGTCGGCCACCTGCCTCAAGCCCCATGTTTTCTGTGGCTCAGCCTCTGGCCAGGTCACCTAAGTTCAGACCACTTCCAGGGTATCATAAAAAAATCCAAATGAAACCGAGTAGTTCTCCTACCACCTTGGGCTATTGTAGTCTTTTCTACTCTATTTACAAATCTTATCTCAAGGTTTCCCTTGCAGGAGCCTACACTGTCCCTATAGTGTGCAGTCCCCGTTCTCTCTGTCTGTGTACTTTAACCCTGGGCTACTCCCAGCCAGAAAGACCCGTCTTCTCTGCTGTCTCTCCCCCAAACTGAGCTCCTTCCATCTACCTATTACAGCATAGTTCTGCCCCCTCTGGCTGGGAGCCATTTAGCGACTCGCCTCTCCAAGTGCAAAGCAAGACCAATTGGGTGCCTTCACTAGCCTTGCAGGGTTGGGGGTTAAGTCCCATCACAGTAATCTTTAATTATTTGTAAATGATTTTGTTTACTTAAGTCAAGAATGCCACTTTTCAGTGGATTCTGCCCCCTATGGACTTGGTCACCTCTCAGCCATTTAACAAGGAGATTGGCATTTAATATAGAGAAGGAAAAATATACTGAATTTAAAAAACAGATACAGGGCTCAGTTTTCAAAACGGAGTGCCTGATGGGACATCCATTCCATATGTCAAACCCACTTGGGATTTAAATCCATACTTAGGCATGGAAAACGTGTGTTTACACATCTAATGCTGATTTCAGCACCAAAGGCAGGACTTGCATTGAAAATTAAAATCATAGTGTTTTATCCAAGATTTAAAAATTAGCAAGGCAGATTCAGTCAGGACACAGTGCCCAGGATCCAAAGTACTCTAGCCTTCAGGGCCTCAAGTACCAGAACATCCTTGTGGAGACAGGGCTGTCAGGTGTCTGAAACATCTGTTCTGCATGGGACCCCCCCAGCCAACCTCTGAAATGGGTGAGATCAAACCATGGACAGGGAGTATGGCCAAGGAGTCATCGAATATGAATTAAGCATGACCATAAATCTTAACATTTTTCTAGTCCAAATGCAAAAACTTACTTCTTCAACCTTGCTTTCCCATATAGCAACATATAGTAATATAGTCATTGTAAAGTTAAAATGCAAAATAAAACACCTGTAACTATTCTCCCGGGGGAAGAAACTTTGTTCTCTTTACTGATGTTAATCACCTTGTTAATTTCTAACCTTGGAAGATGCTCAGAGGTGTAATTTAAGAACCTAAACACAATAGAAGGATAATGGCATTGAGGACCATGTATTGTATTGGAGTAGATAGCTCTTTCCTCTGGTGAAAAATATTCTGTGACAAAAAACATACATCTAACTGTGCAACAGGCAATACAATCCCTATTCTGTTGCCTCTGAGGAGCCCCTTTCACCTTAGTCATCGATCATGCCCCTCTTAAATGGCTAACTGGCTCTCTAGCTTTACTTATTCACAGTATACCATAATTTGGCAGCAGCCCAACTGAACACAGATTTCTTTACTCATGGGGATTGTGGCTCCTGACACACATGCAGTGGATATCACTTTGGTGTAAGGAAGTGTGTGACAGGATGCATGATGGTTGTGGTAACTTATTTTCAACTCTAACTAATAAAGATTGGCTCCTGATGACAATTCCTTGCTGATCACAGCAGTTTCATTCCAGATGAGTAACCCCACCAGCTGATTCAGCACATGGTCCAGGCATCCTCCTCTGTGGAACCTTTTACAGACTCCTGGTAGCAAGATAAACCTTACTTGTCTCAGGCAAACCCCTGGGAGGAAGTTGGTGGAGTGAGGATCCTCTCACCTCCCATGAGGGTGAATCCCTCTGGAGCACAACGCCCCGCATTGGTGCTGGAGGATTAAATTTGCCTGCCCCTATGACAAGGATTATGTTCTGCTTAAGGGAACTGGACCAACAGCATCCTCACATGATAAAGCCTTTATGTACCACAGTATTTAAAATATTTCCACTGCTTCAGATATGGAGGGAACACTTGCCATTTTTACCTATGTTCAGTCTTTTCCTCTCAGGGAAAGCCTACCTTAAAATAACCATGTGCGTTATTCCGCTGTCCCAACCAAAATGCTGTACCCAAAGGTAAATCCATGTAGGGCTTTTCCACAACCCTTTCATAAATTCTGTTAAGAAATAATAGAAGAAATAAACCTCAAATGGTTATCATTTCATTTATTACTGAGCAGGAATGCTCCAGACTACTACTTATTAATATGAAATATCACTCTTCACTTACCTATTACAGTCCACATGTAAAATCAAGTGTGAGGCACTGATTGCTAAGGAAAGCCTGTGCCACTTATCATCTGCCAAAATGTACGGAAACACTTCTGTGTGTGAGTGATGGCCGCCTGAACGGTAATGCAACCTGATTTCATTTCGATGTCCACTGCTCTCCAGTTCCAAGTACCTACACCAAAAATGCAGCATTGAGTCATTAAGCATTCATATCAGGACAGGAGAATGCAACACTGCATATAATGTGGTGGCTGATTATCATATATGAATGATTAACAAGAGGAAGAAACCAAGAGAAGGAGGCCCTCAGTCAGAGTGAAAATAGAGACTCTGCAATGTTGGTCTTGTATTTTCCTTTTAAATAACTCTTTTAGGAGCAGAATGCAGCCTTCATGCAAGTGTGTCAGATCTCAAGCGAATAAGAAGAATTCCACTAGCATCATCAAATTAGATCTCTTCTGTTGCTCTTTAAACACCAATGTGTTCCTTAACATAGTACCATTTTTCTGTTATTAAAATAATCTGATTCAGAACCACACAAAATCCAGCACACTATCCTCAGATAGTGGGCAGAGTATCCTGGAGATATACAGGCACACTAAATACAATGAAGACAACACCAAGTGCTGTGAGTGGAACTATTACCCATCATCAGGATTACTGGGGTAGTAATAAGCAAGCAAGAACTGAGGCTGGATATTGCCTTCTTGCTTTAGGATATACTGTGACATCCCTTTGCATTATTCATAATCACAGTTTTTGCCAAAGAACTGGAGGTGAAGAAATGCTAGGCCCTTCTGAACTCACATACGCTTGGTACAAAACAGCATTATATGTATACCAACGTTGGGTGAATTTGAGCACAGACAAGCTGGAGATGCAGCTGTAGGTGGATTTAAAAGCGCCTCATGGTCCAACCCATACCAGGATAGACAGAGTTACTCCCTGCCTATCCTGAGAAGTAGGCCTCTTCTAGTACGCAAGCAACTGCCTGACAAATCATCCTGGGAAGGGCAGGGCTTGCTCACTCCTTGCTCAGGTCCTATGAAGCCCCTTATTGCTACACCCTGCAAAAGGGAGCTAAGGGTGGAATGATGATGACGGTGGGAAGGGGCAATCAAAGCCTGAAAAGAGGTTCTGTGTATGCTGTACCACCAACACATGTGTTTTATGCAGCAGTGTGGGAGTCAAGTATATATTTCATTTCCAAGCCAGAAGTAACTGATCTTACCAAACCCAGACAAATATCAATTACCAAACCTATGCAAATGTATGACCCCTTTAATACCTGCTGCAGATCCACAGCTACTGGCTGGTACAGGCCACACCACTAGCAGTAGGAGTAAGAGAAGGCCCAGGAAAACCTTCCTAAACTCATCAGTCAGTATTACCTGCCCCACGCATTCAAAAATCACAAGCCAGGTTTAAAAATTGGATGTCACAGTATATCCTAAAGCAAGAAGGCAATATCCAGCCTTGGTTCTTGCTTGCTTATTATTTAAACATCATGAGATTTTTTAAAAGAATAAAATTTGGAATTAATTTGTTTTCTGGGTTTTGATCTTTACTGTTCACATTTTCAAGCTTTTCTCTGAAACCATGAGACCTAGAAACCTTTTTTTTAAAACAAAATCTGGGATTCTCCAATAATCACATAAATCCAGGAGCCGTTGCTTTAAGGAAAAAAAACACTAAATATCATGAGAGTTGCAAGAAGATGACAAGAGCTGGCAATCTCCCTTTTTTCTGTACAAGATTGATGGAATGGTTGTGGTTTGATACCATGTGTGTGGTTCTGTTTGCTTGTTTTGTTCTAATAAGACAAGTATTTTTCTAAAGTATAGGAAGGATAAGGAATTTAGTTTGCAAGGTGGGTGAGAGGAGACAAGATAAGTGAGTAAAAATAATCTTTTACAACCCCTGTTTCAAGGGAGGGGCTCAAATCACATCGCTCCTTTCTATTAGCTTTTATAATCATTAAATGTGCCCTGCAATAGCATCAAAACAGTTACCTTTCGCAAAACTGGCAAAAGTCATGTTCCCCTTCCTCCCCATAAAGAGTATTTCAGCATGTTCTAATCTCTGCATTAACAAAGCAGTGAACTGACATCAGCAATCAAATTTACAATCTACAATAATTTACCTCCTTGTGGCCCAACAATCATTTTTGCATTGGCAAGAAACGTAAACTAACCGAAGGCTCGGCTGCAAAGAAAACGGGCAATAGTGACAGGGCATCAGTCAACCTAACAACCTCCTTCATAACTCATGCTTAAAGGATAAAAATAAGGTCACTCCTGATCAAACGAAGAGGTTGAACATATTGTACAGCTCTTCCAGCAACTGATCATAGATCTAAACCTGAGCGAGAGAGATAGGAATATGTTAAAAGATCATCTCTTAGAATGGATAAGCATCTGATCCTGCTCCCTTGGAAGTCAATGGGAAAACTTCCTTCCATGGAAGGATGAGCAGGCCAAGTGCATAGGAACTTTAAAAAAATGAAAAAATAAGTATATTAGTTGTAAAATAAACAACTATTTTGCTGTTTGGTGTATTGAGGACTACATTGGAATTGCAAGCTATCACTTTATACTGCACCCTGTCTATACTGCATCCTCCTTATGGCGGTGAGTAGAATACATACACAGCATGCCACCCAAGCACGGGTATAAATAGCAGCGTAGACATTGATGCACTGCTTAGGCAAGTAGAATAGACATGCCACAACCTTAGGGTATGTACCCTGCACGTCTCTCTACATGCCCAAGCAGTGCCTCCCCTGTCTACACTGCTAAAATTGCTGCCTCCTTGCTGCCGGAGCCTTTCCCCGCTGCCAGAGACTAAAACTGACATGTACATGCTACATACCACAATGTGGTCACAGCCTGCTTTTCACTGTGGCATGTACCCACTTACCCTACATGGTGCTGCCAGTGGTGTGAGGTGTACAGGTACCTTAAGAGTGAGAGGGTTTCTTGGCCCTGCTTGCATGCTAGGGGGCTCTGTAAGGAAATATGCAATCAGGGCCTAGCATCAGTGTGGAAAGGGCCAGCTTAAAGCAAGGTTGTGCCATAGAGCCTTAGGGGGGCAACATGTTTTCTCTTTCTCGGTTTTTGGGTTCTGGTGTGTTATCATTCTGAATTCTAAGAAATAAAGTAGCTTTATATTGCAATTGCCAGTAACAGTATTTATGTTTTTTAATCCAATTTCTTTGTGTGTATGCTGTGAACATAACACTTACATAGATGGGCTAGAAGAGGGTTTGCTGGGGAATATTTGGGACTTGGAACTTACGTGAAATTTTTGGCAAGTGATGGGCAGAAAAAAGAAGGAAACATGGGGTCAGCTCACAGCATTAAAGCAAGAACTTTTGATGGGATAAACCATGAGGTTGGAATTTGGATGTGCAGCCTTCTGGATAAAACATGAACTGCAGTTCAGGACTCCTGGTTCTATTTCCAATTCTGTCACTGATTCACTGTGTGAACTATAGGTAAACTCTCTGTTTACTAATCCATAACAAGAGCAAACCACTATTTATCTGCCTCACAGCAGGGCCTAATTAGTGTTTTTAAAAAGCTCTTGGTGATTGTTAAACAAAAACTATGCTGCTGTATCTAAATATAGACGATTATCAGTTTCCACCATCTTGCTGTTATTTTTCATGACTACAAAAATAATAAAGGCCCCAGCAAAGTCTTCCAGTGAGTAAACACTGACCAGTAACGACAATGTAACTTTAAAAATGCAGTTTATAATCCAGCTGGAAACAAACATGCTATCAGCAAGGGTAAAAACCAGCTGTACAAACGATCATTAATTTACGAGGGTGAGTCATGGCACCCAACATGAGGGCGGGGAGCCACTGTCCTCCATCTTGTCATTATCACACAGTTTATCTTAAAAGTTCAAAAATTTAAAAAAAAAAGCACCATTGAGAGAATAATAGTTTATTGTTCACAAACAATGTATAGAGGCATCAGGGAAACAGTGACAGAAGCAGCTGAAACAGCACCACCTTAAGCATGAACTAATGTTATGAAACTGAGACACAGGGGAGGTATTGGGGCGTTAATCATTTTATCTCATATCAGATTCACCACAGAGTGGGCCAGATCCTCAGCTGGTCTAAGCTGACTTAACTCCATTGAATTCAATAGACCTATGCTGATCTACATCAGCTGAGGTTCTCTAAAGTATATAAGGGATAGAATGTCCTCAAGATCAGGGGCATCATTTCAGAAAAAATTCAGGGGGCCTGGGAGCGGGGGTCAGTAGTGTCAGCATAAAGAACACCATATGTGATTATATTATATCCTGCAAAGTTGGGGTGGCAGGAGTGTAAGACATAATGGAGCATACAGCTCTATGAAAAGTCAGGGGGGCAAGGGCATACCAAGGTGGTGGGGAGGGGACTGCCCTCCCTTTAACCCATAGAAAATGATGCCCTGCTCAAGATGAGCAAATATAATTAATGATGGAAATGTAAGGCCAAATTTTGCACAGAAAGAAACCACAGTAACTTCTGTTAACTTCAGAGTGAGTACATGTGATTAAGTGACGGCAGATTTGGGCTGTGATTCTCACAGATGCTCTCCCACGCTTATAGAAAAGTAAACTAAACCTCAGCAAATCAACTTGGATAACGGGTAACAGTGACAAAACTATTCTAAATGTCTCTGCTGTGCTAAGGAGTTCTAAATGTGTAGGGGAGGAAAATGACTGCTGGTAAGGGGGTATACATTTCCATTCTGTGAGCCAGCTGTTCTCCAAGGCAGATTTACTTCCAGGGAGAGCAGGAGGCGGTTTGTACTGCTGGCCTCTCCCAAGGATTCTGCTGAAGGAAGGCTCCATAGGAGCCTCATCAGCTGAACTAGTGCATCCCTTTTCCTGCACCCACAGCCCAGATTCATAGATTCTAAGGCCTAAATCAATGGATCTCAAACTTTTGTATTGGTGACTCCTTTCACACAACGAGCCTCTGAGTGTGACCCCCCCTTATAAATTAAAAACACTTTTTTTATATTTAACACTATTATAAATGCTGGAGTTGAAGCAGGTTTTGGCGGGGGTAGTCTGATAGCTCGTGACCCCCCATGTAATAACCTTGTGACCCCCCTGAGGGGTCACAACCCCCAGTTTGAGAACCCCTGGCCTAAAGGGACCATT